AAAAAAACTTACATACATCAAGAGGCCACTAGCCATTGTGATTGATCACGACTTTGTATTCGTTAGATGACTTTTAATGTTGTAATTCCCTCCATGACACGTCATATAAATTTATTAATTTATAAAATAAGACTTTAGAAGAAAACACATTTTTTTCATTTTGAAATATTTTAAAAAATTGCATATAAATAAATCATGGATTGTAAATATCCATTTAACCATTGTTTTTAATTAAATTATGGCCAATAAATATATACCTAAGCAGTACCATTTTCGTCCCCTTAATTATTTGATTTGAGTGGGAGAATAGATTTTGATCAGCTTGATTTTTTTTCCCTTAAAAAAAAAGAAGGAGAAACGGAGTTGAACGTTTTCAAAAGAATTTTTTCCCGTCTTTCTTTATTAAATTTTTACAACCCCGTTTGTTGTTGTTTTAAAATAAAAATCAATCTTATTAAATCTCTCCTATCCTCCTCACTAATTCCCGTCAAACCGAAAAGAGACATTAGTATTATAGACTTAATAATAGTCGCTTCATGATATTATAAAGTGAAGTTATTTTTTGCCCATTTCAAAGATAATAAGACTCTAATGTATTACCGAGTTTATTTGACATTTGGACCCCATAAGTCTCCTCTTATTAAACGGCCTTGGGAGAGCGTGGTAATTTAAATTTCAATCACACAACGTGGGCAATAATAGTGGCGGGTGTTATGTGGAAGAAGACAAATTTCTTTCATTAATTCGTTTATAAAGAATTTCATATTGGTTTGATTTATTTATCAGTTATGAACTACAATTATTATTTTTTGCCAGCCATTAACTACAATTAAATTGTTCTTTACTTCCTTTATTTCATTATATTTGTCTTTGACGAAAAATTTGTTTTATATTACATTCTTTTCTAATTCTAAAAGAACATAGAACAGCATTTTGCTTGTTTTACCATTGGAGTAAAATAATGTTTTTAGAGGTATTAAAGCACTGTTAGCAATAAATGAGGGGAAATTTTTGCAAAATGTGTCCTATTTTTACATAGAAAAAATTAATCTATATATATTCTTATAGTTTATTACAATTTTAATTTAGATGCTTATAATTTATTTTGTTTAAATAATGTAAAAATTATCAATTTTTATTTATAGAATTTCATGAATGCATGAAAATTTGCATTTTTTAAATGAAATTCCAAAATATATAAGTTAAAATTAACATATCAAAGAATAAGGACTAAATTCAAACAAAATAAACTAAATGGACCTAATTCCAAAATCGAATTTGAGTTAAACCGCAACAATTTACGGATTTATTTCCCCTTGTAGTTGTACAATAGTCTAAAAGTAGTGGTATTTATGTTAAAACAGAAGGAGTGTCAAGTTAGTCTATAGTATATGTACATAAACATTTTATGAACAAAAAAAAGTTCATAGAGAAGTCACGCTTAGGAAAGGCCTTAAAAGTTGAAATTTCTAGATCGATATTACGTGACAGTTGGGACATATATTTTAAAGAACACAAACAAATTAGTTAGCATTCAGACAAAACGTATTAAAAACGGTAAGGGCCATGGAAAAGTATTTAGAGTGAACTGGTATATTATTAAAAAATTATAATTGGATTAAAGAAATCGATAACAATAAGTTTCTTAACATAATTATTTAACATTCGGTATTATTGGATCTGTCCTAACCTAAGCATTGGAGGTCCCTCCCTCTCACTTTCTCTTAGGGTGTGTTTAGAAGGGAGGAGATGGATTTTAATGGAAGGAAGTGAAGGTGAGGAGAGGGAAGGGATTTTAATATTACCTTGTTTGAACTGAGAAGAAGGAAAGGGAGGGGAGAGATTTTAACATTACCTTATTTGGCTCAAGAGGGAGGAGAGGGAATATATTTTTATGTGGACAATTTTACCCTCATTTTATTTAAGTTGTTTTTCAAACTTTTTAAAATGTTTAATAAAATAGAATTATAAATGACATTTAATATATAAAATTATAATTTTATAATTATAAAAAATAAATAAATATAATTATAATAGACATTCAACATCTAACTCTATAAGATAAGAAGTGTTGTTTTCTTTCTAGGAATGTCGTTTTGTGTCGGAAAAAGGTTATTCTTTAACATTGTTATTGGAGTATTTTGCATTTATGTATTATATAAAAAATGCTTTAAAAAATAACAGATTTCGCTATTTACAAATAATAGAAAATAAAGCTTATTTTCCTGTTCATCATCCACACTTCATAGTACCTTTTTTAATAATAGTTAATAAAGAATTTCATTCAGTGCTATAAAAAGAAAAAAAGAATTCATTGAGATGAAAATGGACAAAACTAAACGCAATTTAATAAGATGTGGAAAGAGTGAAGGAGGTTGGGATCGATTAGTTTGGGAACATTAAATATAAGCATGGGTATGTTGGTCAGATAGCACAAAATATTACCTCTCCCCTCTAAATCCCCCCAATTTTGGAGGGGAGAGGAGGGATTTCTCTCCTCCCACAAATATTACAAAGCCAGGGAAGGGGAGCAAAATCCCCTCTTTTTAGGGCTGTTTGTTTTTGTTTTTTGTTTTTTTTTTTTATTCTCAAAATGATTCTATAAAATTGTTTCTAAGAATAAGTTTTGCAGACAAAAAACAAAAAACTTTGTTTGGAAAATAATTTTCAAAAAATCACATTTGAAAAAAAAACTTACACTTTGACAAGTGATAGTTATCACCGGTAATGATAAGTAGTAGATAGTAGAAAAGAAGAGACAAAGATTTCCCTAATTTTTTTAAAAAAAAATAGAAAACACAAAACAAAAACAAACAAAAACATGTAAAAGTTGTTTTGATTTTTCAGTTTTTAAAAGCATATTATTTTTTTTTTTTTTAAAACAATCAACTAAAAACAAATTGCCAAACAAGTTTTCTGTTTTTCTATTTTTAAAAACAAAAAATTGTTTTCAAAACAAGAAACCAAACAAGTCCTTAGAATCTCATCTTCACCATGCATTATATCAAAAATGGATGATTTAGATTCAATATTTTAAAAAATGGATGTCTGCCTTCTCTCTCTTATATATTGTTGTAATAACAGTTTTATAAAATATTATATCTGAACCATTCATTTTTTTTAATCAACTGATAAAGATGGGATTCTCATAAGAAAAAAAAGGAAAGTGGGATTCTAAGAGAATTTCCTTCCAACTGGAAAATATGATATACTTCCTGCGATCCTATTCATAACCTTTCAATTTGGAAAAGGGTATAGCCCATTTTATATGTTTCACTTCATGTTTTTCTTAACATTGCTATCCATAGATTGATTATTTGAAACTTATAATAAGAATCGAAGAAAGTAAAATATAAGTCACAAGTATTTGTCTTTTTCCTTCACAGGAAGGCGGAATTACACTGTAAATAGATCATCGCTAGTCTCACTTCCATCCAAGCTTATTTCAAGTTGACCTCAAAAATCTTTTGGTGAACGTACATTCTAAGGTGCCATCCAATAATCACACATGTAATGCGCTTGATTGATGGCACAACTGCATGATTGGCACAAAAAAAAAATTCTGTTTTTAATCACAGAGTCAACATAAATTATATATACTCCTCTATTAATTGCTATATATGTATATATGCTGGCAAAAAAATTTATTGCTATATATATACACAAGGCATTGTTAACAACACTAATATTCTCCAATTACACATGACCATGTGTTTTTTTTGTTTCATGTGAATTCATAATTAAATGTTAATATTTTAAAAACAGGACATATGGTTATATATAATTGGAGAACTTGATATAATGGATATAAGTAATAACTTGATATAAGTATTGTCTAGAAAGTAAACCGTCCTCATTATTTATTTATGAAGGAACAGTTAACACTAAATCAATCCCAATGTCCTTGAGAATTTGAGGGGAAAGATTCAAAACAACCTCTCTTTACATAGGAGGGAATGTGCATGCCATCACACTTATATTGATTTTGTTTATCAACGAACTAATACAAAACCTCAACTAATTAGTCTCATTTTAATATCTGCAACAGGCATATTAAAATTTCATTAATATATATTAGATCGATACCTGCAAAACTTTCAAAAAAAATTAAATATGTACATAGAACACATTATTCACACACACACACACACACACACACACTCTCTCCCCCCCCCCAAAAACATTCATTCTTATTTTTTTCTTCTATAAATGAAACTGTAAATGTCAAGCAAGTAATAAATACACGGAATTGTTTTTCTTTCGTTAATAACAACAAAGTCAATCTTGAGTTTGGAGCCTCTCTTTTGTAATGCCCCAATTTTTCAAATATTTCTTATGTTTCTATTTATAATTGGATTTTATATAAAATGAGTTACATTTTGATATCTTATGATGATGAAATGATGCAATTTTAATTTTTTTAATAATTTTTCAAAAAAAATAATAATGCATAATTCTAAAGTATTTTTCTTTAAAAAAATCATTAAAAATTAAGAAAAATGCGTCATTCATCAACTTAAGGTATCAAAATGTTACTCAATTCGTATAGAATCTAATAATAAAAAAAATATTGAGAAGGTTGGAGCATTACAAGAGGCGTGAAAGAGACAGCGACATCATCGGCCCCAACCCCAACGTTCTTCCATCAGTCAACACGCATTTGACAATCTAAACACATTAATGAGATATAGACTCAAAAAGAGTTGCATATTTATTACATTAACATATAAAACACTTCCCTGCGTCATACGGAACGTATTAGAAACGGTGCAAAGGCCATGACATGAATGATCCGAAGATCCATATAACACTAATTACGGGACGTGTTAATCGGAATAATTGATGCAAAAATATCTAAAGTTAACTCATACTTGAAGTTTTTCCCTCACAAGTACCTTGTGGAATTACATTATAAATACCTCATCGCTGGTTTCACTTTCATGCAAGCTCTAGCTTATTTGAAGCCTAGTTTCATTTCTCAGTATCTGAAACAACAAACAAGCTAGCTAGCATGGCTTTCTATATTTCTAAAACCTCGTTCCTTCATTTCTTGATCTTGAACTTGATTCTGACATGCCTCTCTTCAGGATTTATCCCTTCAGAGGGAGAAGAAGAGTACGAAACATTCCAACAATGGATGAAGCAGCATGCAAGAATGTACCCGAACTCTGAAGAGAGTGAAAGCAGATACCAAATATTTCGAATGAATCTGAAGCACATCAAAGAGACGAATGCCAAGAGATCCAATTCCTCTGGCGGTGGCTATCGTTTGGGACTCAACAAGTTTGCTGATATGAGTCCTGAGGAGTTCAAGAGAGTGTACCTTCGCCAACTACCTGCGCCGACCACCACCAACCCGGCCACCACCGCCTCAAGGTCCGGCTACGTGAAACAGGACTCCTGCACACCACCTGCCTCTGTGGATTGGAGACAGAAAGGAGCCGTGACTCCTGTTAAAGACCAACAACGTTGTGGTATGGACTTGATGGAACCCTATTATAAGAAATATATCAATTTTCCTTTTGTATGTCTGTAAAGGTTCAATGTGCTGATAGATTAATGTTTTATGGTTCATAGGAAGTTGCTGGGCATTTGGAAGCATCGGGGCCATTGAATCAATACATGCAATACAGACAGGGGAACTTGTATCCCTTTCAGAACAAGAACTTGTAGATTGTGACTCCGTAAGCCATGGTTGTTCAGGTGGGTCCCCCAAGAGTGCTTTTGAATGGGTTATCAGAAATGGTGGTATTAGTAAAGAAGAAGAGTACCCCTATGTAGCTCGAGACGATTCCTGCAAAGCCAACACGGTTTGTTTCATCTCTCTCTCTCTCTCTCTCTATATATATATATATGCATGTATATATTTTTAAGCACAAGTATCCTCTTATTGGTGGCAATCTTGTTTGAGACACTATCGGGCATTAAATGTAGACACCTCTTATAATTTGCCACATTGTGAGAAACTAGCCTTTTTGGCTAGACTCAACCCTGTTGTCCCTCTGTGTGTGTGTGTGTGTGACACAATATAGCTTCTCTGTCTAATTTGAGGATTTCAAAACGTTTCCGAAGCAAAATGAAGACAGTGGCGTGAAAATTACTAATTATGCACAAGTAGATCAATCGGAAGAAGCCCTCTTGTGTGCTGTGGCTCAGCAGCCTATTACAGTATCTTTGGATGCATCAAATCTTCAATTCTATGACAACGTAAGTATTTTCTCTGTCTTCATTCAATCTTCAATATGTTTTTTTTTCCTATTTAATCATTTTATTGAATTAATATTAATTGAGTGTTCTAATATATATAAATAACAAATCTTTCTTTTAGTTCGCCAGAATTTATGTACTTAGTTTAAACTTTCATATGAAACGCACCAAGCTATACGTAACCTCTGAATTTGGGACCATGTACAGATAATATCTATGGCCTTTGAAACTTCACAATAAGCCCTCTTAAACTTTTACATTTATGTATATGACTCATACGATAAATTCTGTACATTACTTAGCCCCACACCTACAACCTAAAGTTTAGAGGGATTATCTACACATTAACCACAGTTTGAGAGGTTATATACACACAAAAATAAAGTTTATTATGGGGATATGTAATTGATAGTTGGAGGTAATCTACATAGACTTAAAAGTCCAAGAGAGTTCTTGTATCGGTTAGCCTTTTTAATTTTACTTTAATAACATTTAAGTTTTTGTATAGTTTAGCATTTTTAATTTTACGTTAATGACATTTATTTTGAATTTTCAGGGGATTTATGCTGGTCAGTATTGCTCAAGGGATTCAAACTATGTGAATCATGCTGTTTTAATTGTGGGATATGGTTCAAAAGATGGGAATGACTATTGGATTGTGAAGAACTCATGGGGAGAAAATTGGGGAATAAATGGATACTTCCATGTTAAGAGGAATACAGATTTTCCAAATGGAGTTTGCGCCATTAATACTATGGCATTCTACCCAACCATATAAGATTAATGTACCGGCTAGCTAGCAAATCTCTGGTCAATTTCTCGTTTTCTTGTTGTCATGAACCGAAATCTATTATAGATTCTAAATAAAAAGTCATGAATTATTAATTATAGTAGATTATTAATGTGTCCTTTTCGGATATATTGTTAGTTATTGATGGAATATCAAACTTTTTTCAATCATTCTTGTGATACGGCCAATAGTTTTGACTACTAATAGTTTTGATCTGTCAAAATTTATTAAAATAACTTATTTATCATTTTGAAATTCAACAGGTGTTTTTTTAATCATTTTTCCTATTAAAAAAAAGCTCATTTGCCTATAGAAATAACGTTAAGAGTACAATATAGTATAAACAGTATATCTCAATATACAATTGTACGATAAAATAGGAATAGTTCTCTCTTGTATGGTGGCCAAGAGGAAGAAATAAAAGCGTTATTCTAGCTATAACGACCACCGAAATAAAAGCATCACGTTATAGACTTAATAATAATGTCTTCATGATATTATTAATTGAAGTTATTTTTTTTCCATTTCAAAGATAACAAGACTCTAATATGTTTCACCATAATTAAGAAAAATCTTAATTTCACTGACTTTACTATAAAATTTAATAATTTGTCAACTTTACACCTATTTAATATATACTTTATACTAGTACTTTAATACCTTGTTCTCATGAATAATAAGTGAAGAACACAATTGTATATTCATATAAACGAATTTAATAATGTAACTTATAAATAAAATAAAAACACACATTTTTTACCTTATAAATATAACTAAAGCGCCCACATTTAGATTAACGAGTTTATTAGACATTTGGACCCTAGAGGTCTTCTCGAATTAACGGTCTTTGGGTGAGCACGTTGCAATTTGAATGTTAGTTTCAAATTTACACCGTAGGCAGTAATGATGGCGGATGTTATGTGGAAGAAGACAAATTTCTTTCATTGATTCGTTTATAAAGAATTTCATATTGGTTTAATTTATTTACCAGCCATGAACTACAATTATTATTTTTTGCCAGCCATTCACTGCAATTAAACTGTTCTTTACCTCCTTTATTTCATTATATTTGTGTTTGACGAAAAACTCTTTTATATTATAAGTTTTCTCCTAATTCTGAAAAAACATATAATATCATTTTTCTTGTTTTACCACTGGAGTGGAATAATGTTTTTAGAAGTATTAAAGTACTGTTAACAACAAATGAGGGGCAAATTTGGCAAAATATATCATATTTTTGCATAAAAAAAAATTGATCTATAAGAATATAGATTCCTCTAGCTTATCTCAATTCTAAATTGGATCGGTATAATTTATTTTGTTTAAAATTGTCCAATGTGATTTGGAGGCTGACAAACTCAATTATTTTTATATATTTTGATATCTTTTATATGGGTTTTGTCAACTTAATTAGTCCCTTTTAGCCTTAATTGATTATTAATTGATTTAATATGTTTTATTTTGAATTATTATTTTTTAGGGGCAAAATTGTATTATTTTGGTTTAATTGTGACTAATTGATTTTTGAGGACAATTAATGCTACCTTATCCTTGAATTTTGTTTGCAGGTTTTTGGAAGATTTAAAAATAAAAAAAAAATTAAAAAAAAAAAAAATAATAAAAATAATTAAAAAAAAGGGATCAAAACGCAACCAACCTAATATCCAATAATCACCTTCAGCTTGGAATGAACCCAGGAGCTGGGGGCGGCAGAGAAAAAAAAAAAAAAAGAGTGGAGCGAGCTAAGGGGAGAAGGACAGGGAGAGACGCGAGGGTGCTTGGCGGTGGAACAGAAACAGCGAACCAGAGGCAACTTCATCACCTTCCTCTGTTTTCTCTGCGATTTATTCCTGGCGGCTCGAACAGATCAGCGACAGCAGCGTGAACAGAGAAGAGCGAACAGCGACGGCGCAGTGGAAGAGCTTGACGGGAGGCAGATACGAGCAGGAGCTTGAACGGCGAAATGATACCTCCAGATTTCATCTTCCATTGGCTCCTTCACTGTTGTTCTGCTATGGTTGTGATTATTGAAGCATACGGTGGAGCTTCAGTAATGCAGGGACTTGGCTAAATCCTTTCCAATTCTCTAGAGCAATGGTTATGGCTTGAACTTAAGCTTCAAAGTGGAGTTTCAACTCTTCTAATCTTTACTTCTTTCATTATAATTGTGATTTCTAGGTCTTAGAATGAATTTTATAATGTTTGAATGTGCTGTGATGGTTTATATTTGTATTGAGATTGGTTGTAGTTGTTGGAATCTTTGATTAGCATTTAACACTATGCTGTGATTAGCTTTAATTTCTTTACATTGTACTGGGTCAGACTATGTTTTGAAATTATTGTGAACATTCAGTGGTAATTCAAGATAGCTTGGTTATTGGACTAAAAATGTTAATTGCTTTTCTTTGATTTTCTTTTTGGCTAATTGTGCTGAAACAGTTTAATTGTGAATAATTAATATGCAAGGTGACTTGGTGTTGATTATTCTAATTAAACCGAGTCTAGGGGGTGGCCCTTAGAGTCTTTTGAATTTAGCTAACCCCAAATTAATTGAAGTAATGATAGCCTTAATCATTATGCTAGAGGGTTGCTTTTCCATTTGCTGTCACTTGTTAATTCTCTTTATTTATTTCATTCATATCTATTTTATAAACTAAAAATCCAAAAATTATTTACTCATTTTACATCCTTTTAAATTTTGCCAATTAGTTAGTTAAAAAGAAAATCAATCCCTTTCCAACTCAATTCTTTGTTTTTGATACTTAGTTGCTTAGGATTTCAAATAAAGGCTCCTCAAAGTGAAACAACCCGAGTTTTGCACTATATTGCATTGCTTGGATTTATTTTTGATTGGGAACCCCAAGGCGAACGACAAAGGCTCTCATCAGAGGCATCCATGCATCCTTAAATGTAAAACCTATTAATTTTAATTTATAGAATTTCATGGGATGTATGAATTTTTTTTCATATTTATTTCACACCATTTTTATCTCGTGCATCTTTATAAATGAAATTCCATAAAACTTACCAGTTAAAATTAACAGATTATAGAATAAGGACTAAATTCAAAAAAAAAAAAAACGAACCTCATTCAAAATTGAGTTAGACTATAACAATTTAAGGATTAATTTTCCAATTATATATTTATTGCCTTTCTTAATTTGTGCGCAATAATCTGAAAGTATTTATGTAATAAAACTGAGGGAATGTCAAATAAGTCTACCATTATGTACCTATTTACTCCTTTGATCTAATTTATAGAGCAGATAGATAAAAAATTTTTTGATCATATTCATAAGTTACTTCGTTACATTTTTAGTAAGAATGTATAGCTAGATAGTTATTTTTTTCTGAAATGGTGTATATATTAAATAGGGATAAAATTTTTAAATTATCATATTTTAATAGAAAGTTCATATAGTTTAAAGTTTTTCTTAGTCTGTTGTGTTTTATAAATAAAACCAGATGAGTATAAATCACTTGTATTTCAAGCTTGCAATGAATACGTTTTGTACTTTCTTTGACCTATTAGCTTTATTTCTCTCTACATTTATTAAGTCAGGTGGGTAAAATTAAAAAAAAACTTATTAATTATCCTACAAGTGATTTATAGTTGTGAACAAACTTTTTTTACACAAGTCATTCATATATATATATATATATGTGAACATTTTATGAACAAAAATTTTTATAGGGAAGTCACGCTAGGAAAAGGCCTTAAACGATTACTTTCTTTCGTAAGTTGAAATTTCAAGACTGACATTATTTTATCCCAATCAATTCCTTTGAAGTTAAAAATAAATTTTGAAAAGGTCAGGTATAGTGACATCAAATAAATCGTCACACAACAGCAAATAATTTAAGGCTTTTTATTTAAAGTTGATGATAGAGACTTGATGAGTTCATAGTAAATCATCACACAACAGCAAACAATCAAAAGTGTATCACATCACAAATTGACAATGGGACGGACTACGTAACAAGTGTACTAGTCTACATGTTTGGGACATAAGCCCAAGCATTGAGAGCGCAAACTCCATGTGGTAAGTTTGTGTTCCTTTTAATAAAGAAGTATCCATTCATTCCCCAATTCTCTCCCTATGAGTTCTTCGCAATTCAATAATCTGTGCCATCTTTTGAGTCACATCCAACAATCAAAACGACATGAGTCACACCGGTTGAATCCTCGGGGCAATTCTCACCGCCATAAATTCCCTAGTCAATTGAACAAACAAGTTAGAAATAACAAGGGGAAACTGAATATTGACGTATGATTCTTACAAATTATACAAGTTGTCAAGATCAGGGGCAGATATCAGTAAACTAATTAAGCACCATAACAAGAACACAATAAGAGGGTGAGCCTTGGAGCAACTTTTGCTACCTTGTATATTGGGAAGCCATTACCAAGATCACAATAAATATTGAATATTGAGAACTGAGATATATAAGACCTACACTCTTATAAAATTGAAGATCTGTTGCATTTCTGTTGCATCGAAAGCCCAAGGTACAGGCTGCTTAGAAGCGGCACACAAGAGAGCATCATCCGATTCTGGTATCTGGCTGTGGCTACTAATTTTAGCCACTTTGTCTCCATCATGCTGCAGAAACATATATAAACCAGAAATTAGAAAACGAGTATGGTATCAAAAGAACTTTTAACTTTCCATAAATAAACACAAAATCTAAGGTATATATGTTGGGATAATGTTTTATGCGAATGAATAGTGTAATTTCCTGTAGGTTTTACATAATATGAGAAAGGCGAACAAACCATGTTGGCTTTGCAAGGACCCTGCTGAAAAACATAAGGATAATCTTCTTCTTTACTAATCCCGCCATTTTGGATGACCCATTCAAAGGCATTATGGGGCCATCCACCTGCACAACCTTGGGTCAAGGTGTCGCAGTCTACGAGTTCTTGCTCAGAAAGGCTAACAAGTTTGCCGGTGGTTATTGCATAAACCGATTCCAAGGCCCCACTGGCTCCAAATGCCCAACAACTTCCTATATATACAAACAATATGGAAACCATCTATAAGTCCAATCTGTTGATCTTTTCGTTATCAGCACCTAGTAAAAATTACATGAATTAATGAAGTTAGTTAAAATTAGTATTTCTGGTAAAATATCATAATTACCTTTAACAAAAATTATGAGTGAGAGGAGTTTGGTTAATTAGTTTAAAAGTTTCATAGTTAGTTAGGGATACTTTAGGTGGAAAAAATTATTATTTTAAACAAAACTTGTTATATTATAAAACATCCTAGAGGTTCACTTCAAATTTAAAAACCATTAGTTTTAGAAACAAGACTGGTGAACTTTGTTGGTCGAAAAGGATCGACTTACCACAACTTTATTGGTGTTTAACTGGAGTCACAACTCCTTGCTTTCTCCAATCCATGGTAGCAGGCGGTGCACATTGAGTCCTTCTGTTGGAAGTAGCCGGGGCTCGAGGAAGCCGGCGTGATGGTGGCCGGCACCTCCAGCGGACGGAGTTAGGTTTGCGTAAACTCCTCAGGACTCATATCAGCAAACTAGTTGAGGCCCAAACGATACCCAGATGGTGACTTGGATCTCTTAGCATTCGTTTCAGTAATATACTTGAGATTCCTTTGGAATATTTGGAATCTAGTGTTGCTCTCTTCAGAGTTTGGGTAGACTCTTCCATGCTCCGCCATCCATTGCTGGAACATTTCAAAGTCTTGTTCAGCCTTTGAAAGGGAAACTGATGATTCACTGGTAGGGAATCCTGAAGAGAGACATATCAGAATAGAACACCAGATCAGGAGAAAAAGGACCTGAGACATGGTAGTGTAGAAAGCCATGCTTTATTTTGCTGTTTCAGTTACTGAGAAATGAAACTTCAAATAAGCTTGCATGGAACTCAATTCATCCACGAGGTATTTATAGTATAATTCTTGGTACTTGTAGAAGAAAACGACCCAAGTTGAAGTCAATACCCCCCCCCCCTCATTTGACTCATGAGTGTTCACATTTTCCCGCTACGAGTTCTTTGATTTTATCATCCACTCGTTACCCATCCTTGACGTAGAAGAACATGTTCCACATCCGTAGTTGGTGCAATGTTAATAATCTTAAGTACCCTGTTTTGAATACGTTTAGTATATAATTTGACATATTTTAGTAATTTTCGTTGCATCAAAAAATCTGTGTCTTGTTCTATGTTACGCAAGTCGCGGAGGCCTCAATGAAAGAAGCTAAGGTCACCGTGACGGCTTAAAGGGAAGAGACTTTTATACTCTAATGAGCTACAGCAGATTTCTGTTAGTACCGTGATTGTTTCTTTATGATGATTGAATCACCAGTTTGATGAGATTTAAACTTGTAATCTTGTGACAGTCAAGTAAATTGGCAATGCGTGGGACGCGGGAAAACCCTAAAGAGGGGATGAACATGATAATGACTCTACTAGGGTTCAAGTGACAAAAATATCCATAAAGTATTTTACAAGGAGTTGCTTTTTTTTTTCCCAGGACAAACTAGCAATATATTCTTTTGTTATTTTCCTCTCCATTTCCCTCCACTTCCCATCCCAATCATAAGATAGCAATTTAACCAGTCCATATTTCATATTTTATGAAATTCAAAATAAAATATTAATTTTTTGAAAACATAAATAAATAAAGTTAAACTACTAATTTTAACTGATAATTTAAAAAAAATTATAATATAAACCCTAGACCGTTCAAATTGTAATCTTAACGATTGAGATAAAAAATGAAGGAAAATGGAAGGGAAAGGAAAAGCTGAGGAATCAGTTATTTGGTTTGGTTAGGTTCACTAACCGAAAAGAATATCTGAAATGTGCATATTTTAAAACACTAAACCGAAACAAACTGAATTAACCGAAATAATTCGGTTTGGTTATTCAGTTTACCCGGTTTTTGGGTCTTTTCCATTGCAATAAACTTTTCTACTTATTTATTATATCAAGAGCCTATATTAAAAATATTACTGGGGATATACTGAAGATGCCATAGCAGCTCAACTAATACTGGGCTTCTGTAGTACTCGAGAAAAGGACAACACAAACAGTAAATATTCTTAGATTAAAAAATCCAAGGATTCCATGTGCAGCTTTATTATTTAAATCCTGGAACAAAATGAAACACACACACACACATATTCAAAACCAGATGTTTCATGGATTTAAGGAGAAATCAATCTTGGGCTTGACTGCGAGGAGATGAATTAAAGAACAAAAGCAATGTGGTAATACATGTAGTTGCCTTTATTCAAACTAATTGGTCTGATTAATTAATCGTGGTAATATCATTCCTTTTTTTTTTCCCCTCTGGAACCCCAAAGGACTAATATGGATTAATATTTCATTGTTCATAGGAAGTTGTTGGGCATTTGCAACCGTCGGAGTACTGAATCACTAAATACAATGAGCACAGGGGAGCTTGTTCCCCTTTCCGAACGATAACTCCTAGATTGCAACCCTGAAAACCATGGTTATGACGGTGGATTTACCAGAATGGCCTTTGAATGGATTATACAAAACGGCGGAATTAGTGAAGAAGCTGATTATCCTTATGTTGCTCAGGAATTTGCAAAACCACCAAGAAGACCCCACCCCAAAAAAAAACTACTCCTTTGGTCCTTTTTGCGACATCCTTTTAACTGAATTACGTTGTTTTAAAAAAAGGGTTAAAAGTATTAAATATGTAAAAGTTAAATTCTTGTTTCAAACAAGCCCTTATTTAAAATGGAAAAATTAGAAAAAGAAATACTAGCAACGAGATAAATGATAAAAGAGAGTGGAGTATAGGAAAAAAAATGACGAGAGAACGGAAAATTGAACAAGAGCACTTTATCAATGCTCTGTTTGGATGAAAAAATGACGGAAAACATATTATGAGAAAAAACTTCTAAAAAGATTAATTTTTTTAATTATTTTAGGAAGTTTTCCTTTCTAGTATTCCTTCCTTATTTTTTTCCTCACTTTTCTCTCCATCCAAATCCAAATATAAAGTTAGAGTATGTTTAGCGGATTTTCTTTTTAAAATAACAGGGTTCAGCTGAGTTTGGCCTAAACAAAAAGGGCTCAGTTGAACATATCTGTGCGAGCTGTAATAATCATATAAACTCTTTTGTTTGACCAGCGAATAATCATACAAATTTATATCGTCTAGAAATTTAATAACGTGATTTTACCTTTTTCTAAATCATTTTCGTATATGGTCTTATACTACAAAAATTAATTTTTTGAAATAATTTCTTGGTATATATATTTACTTTCTAAAAACTTTAGGAGACACTTTTTAAAAAATCATATTTACTTAAAGCATTACATATGATAATTATGGCGTTTATCGATTAAAAAGCAAAAGGTTTATAATTATGATGTTAATGTACAGATTAAATACGACGCTAAACTAATAATTTATTTTCCACATCTACAAAAAATATAACACATGTGGCACTACCCCAAACTGAACTTAATCATTAATTCAACGTGCAATAAAATCAAGGAACCCCTTTAATTTGTTACTACTTAATCTGCTGAGACACTCAAATAATTAGGATGCGGAATATTGCAGAAGTTTTCTATAATGTCCTTTACCATTCCATCAATATACTACTGCCTCGGTTCCTTAGCAGCAGACCCGGGTTACTGATTTGAAAAAAAAGTTAAAAAAAAAAACTAGCTAAATTAGTTTAAAGTACTTATATTTATTATTTTTATCCAAACCAATTTGTCTAGTACATAAACTGACATATAATCTAATGATTTAAACAAATATTTTAGTGAGATCATGTAACATATGTTATAATTAAGCAATTTATTCATCTTACTTTCTCAATCTCTCCAAATTATTCAACTAGATCTTATACTACGGACCAAGATAGTAAAATATAAAATGTCTTACTACTGCTAAGAATTTAAGGCTTTTCATTTAAAGTCGATGATAGAGACTTGACAAGTTCATAGTAAATCATCACACAACAGCAAATAATTAAGTACATCACATAACAAATTGCCAATGGGACGGACTGCATAACAAGTGTTCTAGCCTATATGTTTGGGACATAAGCCCAAGCATTGATAGAGCAAACTCCATGTGGCAAGTTTGTGTTCCTTTTAACAAAGAAGTATCCGTTCATCCCCCAGTTCTCTCCCCATGAGTTCTTCACAATCCAATAATCTGTGCCATCTATTGAATCATATCCAACAATCAAAACGCCATGCGTTACACCGGTTGAATCCTCGGGGCAATGCTAACCACCACAAACTCCCTAGTCAAAGTCAACAAACAAGTTAGAAGTAACAAGGGGAAACCGAAGAATGACGTACGATTCTTACAAATTATACGAGTTGTCAAGATCAAGTACAAATATCAGTAAACTAATTAAGCACCGTAACAAGATCACAATAAAAAGGTGAGCCTTGGAGCAACAGTAATGTTGCTACCATGTGACATAGGTCACTGCTTCGAATTCTAAAAACAGCCTCCCCCTTGTAGGGATAAGGTACAAGATCACAACAAATATTGAATATTGAGAACTGAGATATATAATACTTAAGCTCTCATAAAATTGAAGATCTGTTGCATTGAAAGCGACAGTTATAGGCTGCTCAGAAGTGGCACACAAGAGGGCATCATCCGATTCTAGTATCTGACTATAGCTACTAATTTTGGCGACTTTGTCTCCATCATTGTTAGTAATTAAGCATGTGATAAATATATAATTAGCTGTATATATAAACCTTATGTTTGTTGTAACTTAATCAAGTTGTGTATAACTCATTATAAATATAAATACATGATGGGCCTCCAGTGATACGTCAAGTCATTGAGCCAAAGTACTTCAGAAATCTCTCTCTTTAGTTTTCACTTGGTATCAGAGCCGCCATTTTTTTCTCTTCTTTATGGCATCATCACCGATCCTGAGCACTTCGTCGTCTTCCGCACCATCCATGTCAAAACCCTCCTCCTTTCTTCCTTCCTTTTCATCTTCTTATTCAAGTTCTATTACTCAGCCTTCTCCTATCAAGCTGGATAGGAACAACTATCTGTATTGGTAGTCGATGACTCTTTCTTTACTTTGCGGACAGAGGCTTGATGGTTACATCACCAGCATGAAGACTTGTCCTAATGCATGGCTTACTGATGAAAAGTCACAGATTAATCCATTATATGAAGAATGGGTTGCACATAATCAGACTATACTTGGATGGCTTTTGGCGAGCATGACTCCTGAGATAGGAAGTAAGCTCATTCACTGTAAAACTTCTCCCGAGCTTTGGAAGACCACAAGAGAGTTAATCAGAGTTGATACACGAGCTAAGGTTGTGATGCAGAAATCAGAATTGTAGAGAATCCGAAAGAACTCCATGACAATGGAAGATTATATGAACAGGATTCACCACTTGGCTGGTCAATTAAGCCCTGCTAGAGTTTTAATTCCTGATAATGAATTGATTACGGTTACTTTGTCTGGTTTAGATCTTGAATACAATGCTATTGTATGTAATTTGTCATCTACGAGTGATCTCAACTGGATCACACTACAATTAGAATTACTCACTTTTGAGTGTCACCTTGATCTTTATAGAGGCATGTCTAATCTTTCCCTTTCTACACCTTCTGCAAATTTAGCCAGGACAGAAGAATATGATCAAGGGCATGGCCGAAACACTAGAGGCAGAGGACGATCTAGCAGAGGTCAGAGACCAGTATGTCAAGTCTATGGAAGAACTGGTCATATTGCATCTGATTGTTACTATTGGTTTGACAAGAATGTTAGGCTTCATGATTGAAGGAACTATGGAGCAAACTCTCAATCGGCTGCGTATGTTGCGACTCCGCAAGTTGTTTCTGATCCACTGTGGCTTGTTGATAGTGGAGCTGCGAGTCATGTGGTAAATGATCCAGCTCTTATGCAAAATCAGACTATTATGAATGGTAAGCAATCTATGGTTGGATATGATGGTTCTAGATTGCCTATAATAAGTACTGGATCTTCTTATCTACCTTCATCACCGCCTGATAGATATCTTACTCTATGTGCCGGGTTCTCAGCATAATTTGTTGAGCGTGGCTCAGTTAACTACAGATAATGATGTTACTGTGAAATTTGATCGAAATGGGTGCTACGTGAAGGATCAGGAGTCCAAGGAGATTCTGCAGCAAGGAATGCATAAGGGAGGGACATATGAGATGCAGAGAGCACGAAAAGTAGTCACTAAAGATACAAATTTAAAAGATTTAGTTTCAGTTGGAAATGTTTTTACTGCCAAAAGTGTTAGAGAAAACAAGAAAATTGTTTTAGCTCAGATTTGGCATCAAAGATTAGGACACCCCTCCTATAATGTACTGAGCAAAGCATTATCATTTTGTAATATCAAGATAAATAAAGATGATTGCAATTTTTGTGATGCATGTCATCAATATGGCAAATCTTATTTATTGCCTTTCCAGCGCTCTCTATCTCATGCTAAAAATGTCATGGATCTTATTTATACAGATAAATGGGGACCAGCCCCTACTCTGAGCACTTACTGGTTTCAGATATTACATCCATTTTATTGATGATTTTAGTCATTTCACGTGGCTCTATCCTCTCAGACAGAAATCTGTTGCCTTGAATGCTTTTATTCAGTTTAAGCAGATTGTTGAAAATAAATTTGATAGAAAAATTAAAACAATCCAAAGTGATTAGGGTGGAGAGTATAGAAGCTTCACTAATATGATGTCAGAAAATGGTATTGAGTTCAGGCATTCATGTCCACATACATCTAGCCAAAATGGTAGAGCTGAAAGAAAGCACCGGCATATTGTGGAGACAAGTCTAAGTCTTCCTGTTCAGGCTTCTATGCCACTTCATTACTGGTATATGTTTATTTGATAAATAGAATGCCTACTGAAGTTCTTGCTGAAAAATCACCATATCGGGTACTTTTTCATACTGTTCCTGATTTTAAGTTCCTAAAGGTTTTTGGAAGTGCTTGTTTTCCATGTCTCTGGCCATATAGCACTCATAAGCTGCAACACCATACCACTGAGTGTGTATTTCTTGGGTATAGTAGTGGTCACAAGGGCTACAAGTGCCTAAGTTCTACTGGTCGTATTTTTATTTCCAGACATGTGGTGTTCAATGAACTTGAATTTCCATTTAAAAATGGTCTTCTGAACAGACAACAAACAGAATCTTAGATGATTGTTGATGCATCCTTGTTTTGGCTGCCTAAAATTAGACTTGCTCAATATATTTATACTCCTATGCAAACTACTGATGTTCTCAATCTCCTTCAATACCAGTTCCTATGTCACCACTTTCTCCAAATAATGATGTGCTATCTATTGCAAGTGCAGAATCATTTGAGAACTCATCTGCTATAGCTCCGATACAGAGTAACACTCGTCAAATGGTGACTAGAAGCAAAGAGGGAATATTTAAACCAAGATACCCATTTGTTGAAATTTCTCAACAAGTGCTTGAGGTTGAATCTGAACCAGCAACAGTATCACAAGCCATCTCTGATCCAAAGTGGTTGCATCAATGAAAGATGACTATGATGCCTTAATAAAGAACAAGACCTGGAAGTTGATACCCTATATAGGGAAGGAAAGCATAGTTGAATGTAAGTGGGTCTTTCGAAACGAGTTTCATGCTGATGGAACTTTACAAAAGAGGAAGTCCAGGCTAGTAGCAAAAGGTTTCCAACTAAGTCCAGGGGTAGATTACTACGAGACATTTAGTCTAGTTGTCAAAGCTTCCATAGTTAGGCTAATCCTAACAATTGCTATAGCAAGAGGGTGGTGTATAAATCAAATAGATATAATAATGCTTTCCTGAATGGTACATTGACAGAAACTGTGTATATGAGACAACCTGAATGGTTTATTGATCCTACCAAGCCTCAGCACATATGTAAACTTGAAAAGGAGCTTTATGGATTCAAACAAGCACCAAGGGCTTGGTTTGACAAGCTAAAAAACAAAAACTCTGTTGAGTTGGGGTTTTCAAAACACAAAATGTGATACTTCCCTGTTCTAGTTTAAGAATTCAAGAATCATTTTGCTGGTTTTGGTTTATGTAGATGACGTAATTGTGAGAGGGAATGATTCTACAACAAAGGTCAAATGGTTCATAAATGAGTTGAATGTCAAGTTTGCCTTAAAAGATATGGGAGTCCTTCGCTATTTTCTTGGGGTAGAGGTGAAAAGATATGAAACAGTAATGTTTCTAAGCCAAACAAAGTATGTTGCTGATATACTTAAAAAATTTAGCATGTTACATGCTACTCCCTGTACAACTCCAATGGTCTCAGGTCGTTCACTCTCTGCTAATGATGGAGAAATGTTAAAGGATCCCTCTATCTATAGGAGTGAAATTGGAGCTCTCCAGTATCTTACACAAACTAGACCAGATATAGCCTTTTTTGTGAACAAGACAAGTCAATATCTACATAGTCCCAGGACAGCTCACTAGCAGGCTGTTAAAAGGTTGTTTTGATACATTAAAGGAACATCTACTTTTGGCATTCATATTAGAGGTAGCAAAGATCTTAATTTTACAGGCTATTCAGATGCTGACTGGGCAGCATGTCCTGATGATAGAAGATCAGTTGGAGGTTACTGTGTTTTCTTTGGAAATACACTTTTCTCATGGAATTCTAGGAAGCAGCGTGTAGTGTTGAAGTTTAACTTCCCTTAATTGTCGCTTTGGGGTTACTCCAAAAATTAACCGAATTAATGTAATATAGTGCACAATCCGGCTCGTATTCACTTTGAGGAGCTGAAAACGAAATTAAATCTTAGTAAATAAATGCAAGTAACCTAAACTATAAAAAGGATTTTTAATTTGAGTTTGAAAAATTGCTAACTAAATGCCTTGAATTAAATTGAAATTAAAATACTTTTTTTTTGTTATTTTCTTTTATATAAAAGATTATTGAAATAACTGAAGATGAAAGAAATGAAAATGAGACACACAAATAACACTGATGATAATTAATCCTCTAATTCAACAATGTAGGCAATCATCACTCTAAAAGATGTGGGAGTTAAAAACAATGAATTAAGAATTATAATTAAGCTTTTAATCCAACAATCGAGCCACCTCGAGTTGCCACAAAATATTTTTCTAAAATCCCAACTTACTAACTGCAACCAGAATAGTAAAATGGGATTAAGGATGCCAAAAACCAATGCTTAATTAGAACTCTTAAATCCAAAATAACAGAATTAAAGCTAGCAAGAGACAATATGATCCAAAATTCTAAGCCATCTTAGAAAATCACAATATATTAACTCCAAAATCAATATAAATGTCATAACCACAACATCATAATTGAAATCAAAGCTATAAACAACCCAATGTCAAATGCTAAACAGTAATCCAGCCACAAAAATCTCCACAGATAATCAGATTTAACAATACAAAATTTTCTAATAATCAGAATAACTATCCTAAGACCTAGGAATTGTTAAACAATTATTAGACAGGAAATTAAAGCAACTAAAACTCTCCCTTGATGATCTAAGCTCCTGCCATTGTTGTTGAATTAGAGGATTAATAAAGCTAGCCACGGACTGCCATAAAAAATACTGCCTCCAATAGTCTACTATGTCCTGCCATGAAGAACAAGGAAGAAGCGGCTGTGAAAACTATAATTCGATGACTCGCTCTGCCTCCCGTGGGTTCCCTCCAGCCGCGCCTCGCGTCCCTGTTTCTTTCTTGCGTCTTCGCCTCCGCGTATGTGTGTGTCTCCGTTCTCCTCTGTTCGGCGTGCTCTGCTCTTGCCTTCCGTGTATTCCCTCCAGTCGCCTCGCGTGTGTGTGTGTTTCTTTGTGTGCCGCCTGCTCTGTTTTTGTATCGTGTCTTCGGCGTCTTCTCTTGCTTTTCTGCCGCCCCCAGCGTGTGTGTGAGTGATTATTATTATTAGGTTGGGGGAGGGCAAAACGTTCCGTTTTGCTCTCCCCTTTTATTATTGTTATATATATTTTTTTTATTTTTCTTTTCTTCTTTTTTTTTTAATTCTTCCAAAAACCTGCAAACAAAATTTAAAAGTAAGGTAGCATTAATTGTTCTAAAAAAAACAATTACTCACAATTAAACCAAAATATGACAATTTTGCCCCTATAAAATAATAATTCAAAATAAAATAAAATAAATCAATTAAGGCAAAAAGAGACCAATTAAGCTGACAAAACTCATATAAAAGATAACAAAATATATAAAAATAATTGAGTTTGTCAAGTGTCAAGATTAAGCATAGAGTCAGAATATCGTGCTCTTACTGATCTAGCCTGTGAATTAGCTTGGCTTCAGTCATTGCTTAGTGAATTACAGTTCCCTCTCACTCGAACACCTTAAGTATGGTGTGATAATACTAGTGCATAGGCTTTGGCAAGCAATCATGTTTTTCATGCTAGAACAAAACACATAGAGCTTGATGCTCACTTCGTGAGAGATGCAGGTGCTAGCAGGACGCACTAATATTGGTCATGTACCTACTGAAGATCAATTAGCTGATTGTATGACAAAAGCTTTATGGCATACACGTTTTTGGACTCGAAGAACCAAGCTTGGCATTACTTCAACTCCTGCCTAGCTTGAGGGGGGATGTTAGTAATCAAGCATGTGATAAATATATAATTAGTTGTATAACAGTTTGTAGGATATGCCAGCTGTAAACCTTGTGTTTGTTGCAACTTAATCAAGTTGTGTTTATCTCATTATAAATATAAATACATGATGGGCCTCCAGTGATACGTCAAGTCACTGAGCCAAAGTACTTCAGAAATCTCTATCTTACTTTAGTTTTCACTATCATGCTGCAGAAACATGTATAAACCAGAAATTAGAAAACGAATATGATATCAAAAGTACTTTTAACGTATCATAAGTGAACACAAAATCTAAGGCATGTTGCGAAAATGTTTTATGCCTATTGAATAGTGTAATTTCCTGTAAGTTTTACATAGTGTGAGAAAGGCATAAAAAACCATGTTCGCTTTGCAAGGACCCTGCTGAGCAACATAAGGATAATCTTCTTCTTTACTAATCCCGCCATCTTGGATGACCCATTCAAAGGCATTAGGGGGCCATCCACCTGCAAAACCACGGCTCGAGGGGTCGCTGTCTATGAGTTCTTGTTGAGAAAGGCTAACAAGTTTGGCAGTGGTTATTGCATTAATCGATTCCATGGCTCCAGTGGCTGCAAATGCCCAACAACTTCCTATATAGACAAACAATAATGAAACAATATCTCAGTCCAATCTGTTGATCTTTTGATTATAAACACCTAGGAGCAACTTTACATGAATTGATGAAGTTAGTTAAAATTAGTTATTTCTGGTAAAATATCATAATTACCTTTAACAAAAATTATGAGTTAGAGGAGTTTGGTTAATTAGTTTGAAAGTTTTATAGCTAGTTAGGGATACTTTAGGTGGAAAAAATTATTATTTTAAACTAAACCTGTTACGTTACAAAGCATGCTAGAGGTTCACTTCAAATTTAAAAACCATTAGTTTTAGAAACAAGACTAGTGAACTTTGTTGGTAAAAAAGGTGCAACTTCCCACAACTTTCTTGGTGTCTAACTGGAATCACAACTCCTTGGTTACTCCAATCCATGGTAGCAGGCGGTGCACATGAGTCCTTCTGTTGGACATAGCCGGAGCTCGAGGAAGCCGGCCCGATGGTGGCCGGCACCTACAGTGGACGGAGGTAGGTTTGCGTAAACTCCTCAGGACTCATATCAGCAAACTTGTTGAGGTCCAAACGATACCCAGATGGCGACTTGGATCTCTTAGCATTCGTTTCAGTAATATACTTGAGATTCCTTTGGAATATTTGGAATCTAGTGTTGCTCTCTTCAGAATTTGGGTAGACTCTTCCATTCTCCGCCGTCCATTGCTGGAACATTTCCAAGTCTTGTTCACCCTTTGAAGGGGAAGCTGATGATTCGCTGGGAGGGAATCCTGAAGAGAGACAGATCAGAATAGAACACCAGATCAAGGGAAAAAGGAACTGAGACATACTAGTGTAGAAAGATATACTTATTTTGCTGTTTCAGTTACTGAGAAATGACTTCAAAACAAGCTTACATGGAAGGAATTCATCCTCGAGGTATTTATGGTATAAGTCTTGTAGAAGAAAACGACACAAGTGGAAGTCAATATTTTCTTTTCCCATTTGACTCATGATATTTGTTCACATTTTCCCGCTACTAGTCCTTTGATTTTATCATCAACTCGTTACCCGTCCTTGACCGGACCGTGTTTCCCTGCTCAGCGAGAGATGAGCAGCGATGGCTCATCTCCCAATACGCACCGCTTTATAAAGTAAAGAGTATAACCTATATATTCCCAATCCATGTGGCTTCTGCTGTGCTCTTAGGGAAAAATTTTGCCGTGCCAGCAATCACAAGAGAAAGAGAATTGACACACTTGGAGCCATTGAGAATTGGAAAAAAAACTGAATTTCGGTGCAGAAAAAATTTCAGATTGAAGTTATCTAATTTCAGATCTTTGCAAGAAGAAGGCATCAAAGGTTTTTTATCTTCCATCCTTTTTGCGTTCTCTGACAATCCTATTAATATATATTTTCATATATATTAAAATGGGTCATATGCAGGTTATTATTATTATTATATACTCCTCTGGTTCTATTTATAAGGCACTTTTGGCATATTTCATACAGACCAAGAAAAACCTTAAAATGCATTAACTCTCTATTAAAATATCACCACTTTTCAACTTTATCCCTGTTTAATATAGACATCTTTAAAAAAAAATAACTATCTACAATCTATATTATACTACCTCCGGTCCTTAATATAAGACCCCGTTTGACTTTTTGTTTGGTCCTAATTATAAGACCCCAATCCATTTTGTCTCTCACATTTATGCATTTTTTCCCAAGATAGTCCTTTTAATAATGATAGTTCTAGCCAATACACTTAATTAATAAGCATATTTTAGGAATAAAAACACTTATTTATTACAAATAACTAACTTAACTTACTTCTTTAATCTCCTCAAATAAGTCAACTGGGTCTTATAATTAGAACCGGAGGTAGTAATAAATAAAGGACAAAAAGTACATTTATACTAAAAATTTAATGAAGTGATTTATAAATAGGATAAAAAAAACTTATCTCTTTGCTCTATAAATGGAACCAAAAGAGTATTATATATAACTGAAATTTAAAGTGGGTTTAGGTGGTTTTGTTTTCTCAACGATATTAAAGAATAGAAGCAAAGAATATATCCAGAGTAAAATTCCCAAGGTAGCAACGCAGTATTATTTGGGAGGTTTCTAAGTTATCAGTACAATTTAGGTTGAAATAATATTCGCCTAGGATCACAGCAGTGACCGCACAAGCAACATGGTTTGGGAATATATAGGTCATACTCTTTCCTTAATAAAACGGTGCGTATTGGGAGATGAGCCATCGGTGCTCATCTCCCGCTGAGCAGGGAAACACGTTCCTCCTTGACCTAGAAGAACATGATCCACAGCCGTAATTGGTGCAATGTAAATGATCTTAATTATCCCGTTTTGAATACTTTTAGTATACAATTTGACATGTTTGAGCAATTTTCGTTGCATCAAAAAATCAGTGTCTTATTCTATGTTACACAAGTCGCGGAGGCCTCAATTAAAGAAGCTAAGGTCACCGTGATGGCTTAAAGAGAAGATTTT